TATATGTATATATAATATGTATACGCATGCATGTGTACGTATGTCTTCTGCTATGCTAGACAAAGCTAGCTTCTCTTATCTACGCTACAGCTTGCCTAATGACTTTGCGTCTTTTCTGCAATGAATTCATAGCCTTCAGGGGCCAGTCTCCACAAAATTCCCAAGCCAAGTACCTACGCCGTTTAAGCTTCCGTGAGCACCTCCTTGCTAGAGGCCAATCGTGACAGAAGCACAGGCAAACCGAGTCAAAACCCTCCTTGGGCTCATGAATACAGGGTTTAGGGTTTAGGGCAGGACATTAGACGGCTCATGCCTCAAGAAGAGATCATGACCGAACAAGCCCAAGGTGCTTCAGTCCCTATTGTATTACGCTGAGGGTTGTCCGTTTGGCTTAGGGTTGCAACGTGTTGAGATACAGGACGATGAGGCTGCAGTACGTGAGGATTCAGAACTCGGAGTACAGCTTGGAAGACAGATCCCTGGTTTGGCTCTCCTTTCTCGAGGGCCGCTCGTGGAACCCTTCTCTCTATCTGTAGATCCTGGACACGTAGGCTCCTGAGATCACCCAGTACCCAAAAACCCTACACCCTGATGGTATGGCTTATTCCTTTATAAGGATCCAAATAAACGCCGTCAACAGCAAAAGGCCCATCTAAACCCTACACGCTCTGATAGGGGTTATCGTCTATCTGGGCGTCTGGAGAAGCGCCCTAATTCTCGGAAATAAGCCCTAAACCCTATGCCCCCAAAACTCTGAACCCTAAGCCCCTGGTCACTGGGTCACCGTGTTGACGAACTTCATGGCAGCCCAGTCACACCACAAGCTTAGTCCAGAAGCCAAACCCCAAACCAAAATCTGGACCTCCCAGAGCGACTGCAATAGAGATAGTAAACGGAATAATGTCGGAGGTAAATAGGCTTTAGGGTTTAGGGTAACTTGGAGCCTGAAGTGGCAGAAGTCGCAAGCAGCGCCGGCCGCGCACTGTCCTCTGAGGTAGGGTACGGTCTGAAATACTTACCACTTACCAACATGTGTTACTCTCAAAACTATGGACCCCGGTTGAGTATAGAAGATATTCCGACACCTAATACTTAGGGGCACCCAAATGAAAACCCCTTATTTGGGAACCCCGCATATCGTTTTGATGTCTATTTGAAGCACGCTGTACCTTAAAACTATGCCAGGAATCTAGAAACAACGGCCAGAACCTTGGCTGTGAGTCGAAACCCCGTGCCCCAGCGCTTGCGCCGACAGCCCTCTGTTGCTAGAGCTTAGGGTATTAAAGCCTTAACATTGTCTGGGTTTGGGCGCGGGCCATTGGATAGGGAGGCACCTGTCTTGTGGGAAAGCTTCTTGGAGACTTCATGGGCTACCAGTCCTGTGAAGTTTTTTTCGAATTATTGAAGATTCAGCATGAAATTGAACACGGCAAAGAACACATGCAGCCATGACAAGCACGGGTCAAACTTCAAGAATCTTCAGCCACTAGCCCTAGCCCTAAGGATTCCATTCATATGTCTAGTGTCAGCGTGCTTGCCCAACACCTTACATACCATCACTATCGCAAAAGTCTCAAACGCCTACTTTTTGGACAGCCGGACCAGCAGAGCAACCCAAAACACTCACTAAATAGTAGTTTCCATTCTATATTCCATTACCTCAATATTACCCCAATATTAACCCCAAAATGCTCCTGCGGCATGCTTGATGCATCCGCGCTGACACAGCTCCGGGTGCCCTATACTACCTCTCGAGGGCCACCGCCCTGCCACCACTGCAGCTGGAACCTGTCTCGCATCCCGGTTTCAGGGCCAAGCTGAGGTTGAGGATGTAGGGTTTCTAGGGGAAATATGAGGTTATATACATATATATATATATACAGGGGTACATTGGGGTTATATAGGGTACTCCACCAGAAATGCAAGGATGGCTATGGACTGGAGATGTTAAGCCTCATGAACATCGTAGCCTAGCGCTTGGGCTATGCATGTGAGTGTAGACCAGGGAAGTTTGCATAAGTCCGAAACATTCACAAAAACAAATAATCTGCGATGCCCTGTTCGACCCTGAGCACCCAACCCGCAGCAAGCACCTGCTCTCAAAACCAACATGTCACCATGAACTCTCTGCATACACAGTCTGGGGCTGCGCTGTCCTTGCTCTCACGGCCTTCCTTTCAACACCCTGTGTATAGCTACTCCAACGGCCATGCAGCAACCCTGAACCAGAATCCCTTAAGGGAAATACAGGGGCCTAAAGAAAATTACCAATATCATTTTGAGGTCCACTTGAGGGTACCATAGACCACAGTTATACAAGGAATATGGAACCATAATATTGGTAATTACTTAGGTCCCTATATTAGACTGCTAGAGCCTGACATTACTTGACCATGGCACCGCCGGTCCAAGCACACGTGCGGCAGTTGTGGCCGGGTATCCTCGGTGATCTCTCTCACAGCTAGACTCTGAGGTTTAGTGATTTTGCTTCACGTCTCTCTGGTTTATAGGGATTATGGCTATTTCAACTTAACACGCCTTTTTCGTCTGCATGATGCACTGGGCATCTTTGCTTTCGCCCTTTGGGGTTTTATTGGGCCTAAGTAAAGTCTACACCTCAAATTCATGTCTGTTCTTGTTGGGGATGGGGATGCTTAACATTGCGAACCCCGGGTAATTCAAGAGGAACTACATCGCAAGGTCAAGCCCATATACGGACTTCAACTGCAACTTCCACGCCCTTAAGCACCTATGTTTCCGCACAAAAACCATTGACACCGAAATGGGCTAGCGATGGAGGCCGCCTGGACTGCCACAGTTCTAACTTGGCCAACTCTCGTAGTGTTGTTCTACTCAACAGTGACCACACTGCACGGGCTGTTTGGAACAAGTTTGAATTCTGGTCACTCCTTGCCTCCTTTCCAGCCAACAGGATGTTCCCAAGAAGCCAGAACAACACAAACGCGAAGGTTAACATTGTCGGATCGCACAGCGCGGCACACATTATTATTTGTACTATCTTTACTACCAAAGTTTTGATACGAGCATTATAGTACTATTATTTCTACTATCTGTTATTATGAGTGCTAGTACTCAAAGGCTAGCACTACGTTCTAGTGTTACTAGCATTACGTTCTAGTGTTACCCAGGCTTGCAACACAAGTGAAGTACTTGATTGGACATGCCTTTTCAAGGCTACCAGTAAGCTCCCACGTGGTACCCAAAATATTGGGAAACACCCATATGGCTTTTAAGGCAAACTGCCATATAGGTCGCATGGGTGGTCGGGTAGTGAGTCTGGAGGGACCGTATTCTCAACTTTCCCGATTGATCTGGGTTGGGCTTCCGTCTCTTTTCTCATTGGCCCTTCGTGGGCCCATCTTGTTGCTCGTGCTGGTTTTGCGCTCAGCTGCTACCGTTGGACATGGATGTTGCCTTGGCAAACATCACTGTAACATGGAGCGTTCCGCGCATTCTTCTGGCCAGATTCTATATGAGCCTCCAAGTATCTTCATTCATAACCCCCATATAAATATTCCCCTTGAAGAATTTCAACTACAGCTCATATGAAATCATTCGGCATTGCGAGGTTGAAAGCTTAGGACAGGGGTTTAGCTCTTAGACTTTGCCCAAACACCAAGGAGGCATGGCGTGAGCTTGTTGAGGCTGAGTGGGACTTCGCCAAAACGTGGCTTTGGGGTCCCCATAACTAAGGAGGATTAACATATGTTGGGGTCTATATGAAATTACTGAGCGTCTTACTAGGTGCTGGAATGCGCGCAAGTGTGAAATGGGCTGCCGGTGGTCAAATCCCAAATAGTCTGGCTCGCGACGCTGGACAAACAAAGAGTTGGTAATTGTAAGCCTGCTCATGTAGTTTTAAAAGGGGCAATGATGAGGAGATTGCTGAGAATGTTCTTGCGTCGCAAAGTCACCCATTTCAATAATCAAAGAGTGATACATTCATGGCTAAAGTCGCATGCTGCTGACAATTGAGATTCCTGCCTTACCCGCTTGAAAGCTTTGGAGGCCCCTCAAGTGCGCCAACAAAAAATGTGGATCCCAGTTTCCGATGCGGGTGCTAGAAGTTGGCTGGTCGGTCATAGGTGCCTGGAGCGAGGTCTCTCGACAAAAGGCTGGTTAACAAAAAATACACAGCCCACAGCGACCCAACCTGTAAACCTCTGCATAAGGGCAGATTCCATGTCACTTTGTATTTTTCATTTGATTTTTTAGCCTTGGCAATGTCTACATGGCACGGTTCCGTTTTGGGGAACTGAGCACCTCGACCGGCTCCAGCTCAACAGGTATCATGATCTCACCAGCGGTGCCTCAGTACATTCAGTTCGCTCTGACTGAGAAATGTTCAAGCTAAGGTTGCCCTGCATGGAATCAGAATATCACTGCTCTTCCAGCCAGGTCCAGTAAGTATCTACCCCCTGTTCTTAGATCTGGTAGCTCTAGTGGGGACTATAGGTACACCACAAAATCTATAGGTCGCTTGCTCCACCTAAAGATCCTCAGGATCCTCAGTGAAATCGCCGTAAAATCCAATCAAAGGCTGGCTGGGGAGTTCCTCAAC